TTCTTGCGCCGCAGAAACCCCCCACCCACATTTTGGGTCGTCGCCACGGCTACTCGTCCTCATTTCCGCGCTTCCGCGGTTTTTTCCTACAAATGCTGCTCTCGCTGAAGCGCTAGCTTCATTTTCGGGCTACCGCTCGTGCCGAATCGTGCTCCCGCTGCAGCACTGGCCTCATTTCCGCGCTTCCGGTCGTTCCGAATCGTGCTCCCGCTGCAGCGTTGGCATCATTATTTCCAGCGCCATGCCACGGCATGGTTTTCGGTCCTCCCAAATAGCCCGCAAATCTAAAAAATGCCCCCCCAAAAAAACCAGCGGAAGTAATGACACATTCGGTGTCGATTCTTTGATTTTTTGCACCGCAGAAGCCCCCCCAACCACATTGCGGGGCGTCGCCATGCCATGCTATGTCAGGCTACGCGTCCTCATTTCCGCGTTTCCGCGCTTGGGTTTTTTTTCAAAATGCTGCTCAGCCTCATATTCGGGCTACCGCTCGTTCGGAATCGTGCTCCCGCTGCAGCGCTGGCCTCATTTCCGCGCTTCGGTCGTTCTGAATCGTGCTCCCGCTGCAGCGTTGGCGTCATTATTTCCAGTGCCATGCCACTGTATGGGTTCCGGTCCTTTCAAATCGGCCCCCAAATCTAAAATTTGGTTTCCCGAAGAAACCATCGGAAGTGATTACACATTCGGTGCCGATTCTTTGATTTGTTGGGCCACAGAAGCCCCCCCACCCCCAGAGTTTGGGGCGTCGCCACGCCATGTTATGTCATGCTACGCGTTAGTCTTCAACACCATGCTATGCCATGTAATGCTACGCCATGCTGCGACATCCGATTGTGCGAATAGGGAGGAGATCTGCGCCATGGTAAGGGATGGGAGGGAAGGCTAGGACGTCAGATATGACGCGAGCGCACCCAGCTTGCCCCCCCCCCTTCTCGCCCATCCCATGCCCCCATGCCCCCTGCGCGACGACCTGAGGCGTGTCCGATGGGCGCATCGGGGCTGATCCTGGCTCTGGCAGAGGTGGGCGGCGCTGGGTGCTGGTCTCGCCTCCCCTTGCCGAGCCCTGCTCAAAAGAGTATGGCAGAGGTGTAAGTCGCTCCTCTCGGCCGCCTTCGCCCCCACTTGCAGGTGTTCCTCTCCCAGGCGGTCAGGCGATCAGCATCTGGGCACCTCGTCCTCCTAATGATGTCCTTCTCCTTCTGTTCCCCTGCTCCTCATTCTCGTCCTCCTCCTCCTCATCCATCCATCCTCCTTCCCCCTCCTCCCCCTCCTCTGCCCCTGATTGCCTCCTGCATCTTGGACCTACTTTTCTGGAGGCAGGCCACCCAGCCCAGGCCCAGTCGTTGCCTCCTGCATCCCCCCCCATTCTTCCCTCCCCTTTTCCCTCCCTCCTCTCCTGTCTCCCTCTCCTCCTCCTCCTCCTCCTCCTCCTCCTCCTCCTCCTCCTCCTCATCCTCGTCCTCATCCTCGCCCTCATCCTCATTCTCCTCCAGAGGAGGAGGAGGAGGACGAGGACACCTCTTCGTCCAGTCCGTTTCCTCTTTGAAGGTTCATAAGGGGGGTCCCTGTGACCTACTCGAGGGCGCCCGAACCACAGGCGAGGCCAGGCCAGGCCTGCGCACAGGGGCGACGCGCGCACGCGGGCCGCGAGCGGGAGCGACTTGCGGGAGGGGGAGGCGGTGGGCCAATCACGCATAGAAGCAGCAAACCCAGACGAGGTCATGATGGAGAAGGTGGCGCACCCGCGGGCGGTTCCGGCCTGCCTCTCACGCCCAGGAGGCTCCGAGGGCGCTGGGGCTTGGGGCCCCCGCCGCTCCCTCGGAGCCCTGGCGCCGGCCCAGCGGCGGCGGCGGGCGCCAGCAGGTCTGGGCCCGAGAGCAGGGCTCGGACGCCGCACTGAAACCCTGGGCCCAGTCGCGTCGAGGTCGACGTCGGGGGCGACGGCGTCATTGCCGAAGTGGTTGCGCAGCATCTCTCGCAAGTTGCTGCCCACGCCGCCACCGGGGTAGACAGAGCCGACTTCACTGGCCTCACCCGCAGCGACGCACGCTGCCGATGGCACGGGCGGTCTGTCTCTGCCGTGGTGTAGATGCCCCCTGGGAGCGGCGCAGCTCCTCGCGCTCCTCCTCCTCCTCCTCCTCCTCCTCCTCCTCCTCCTCCTCCTCCTCCTCCTCCTCCTCATCATCATCATCATCATCATCATCATCATCATCATCATCATCATCATCATCATCATCATCATCATCATCATCATCATCATCATCAGCATCATTATCTTCATCATCTTCATCGTCATCATCAGCATTGTCGTGATCTCACGGGTTTCCGATACTCTCTTTGGGCCGCCGCCGTATGGGTTGCTCAAGTCTTGAGTATGTGGTGGGAGAGGCTCACTAACCACGCCCTGATTGGAGTAGTGTCCTACCTGACCAGGTGCCCACAGGTGCCATCTTGCCCTCCGTGCCCTACCTGCAGCCTGGCGTGCGGCACGCCGGCCGCCTGCCCGAGCTGCTCGCTGCAGTGCCCTGCCATCCCGCCGTGCGTGGAGGCGGCGCCCGTGAGCTGCCCGGCGGCTGCCCTTTGCCCGGCGTGCGCCTGCCCGGCGTGCGCCCCGCGTGCGGCTTCTGAGCCCTCGCCGGGCTCGGCCGCGCCAGGAGCCACCCCTGCGAGCGTGGGGGGCAGCGTGGTCGCCGACGCGGCTGTCGACGCGCGGGCTCTGGCCTTGGGATTGGTGGGCGGCGCGGTCGGCTTCGTATTCGCGGCGGCCTGCCTTGGGTGCTGCTGTGCGGCGCTCAGGAGGGACGCCCGCCCGCGTAGCCGCGGCTTCACCGGTGTGGACGGTGGCGGCAGTCGCGACGACACGATGGGTGTACGTCTTCTACGCAGGCGTGGTGCTTTCGCACCGGCTCTTGAACCTGGGCCGGGCGGCGTTGTCCGAAGCTGACCGCGTCATCTATATTGCTGACGGTGATATGTACATCGACGCCTTCGTCAACAATCAAGATGTGGAGGCGGCGAGGTTCGGCAGCTTCGATTTTCCGCCACCCGGCATTGCGGCCATCCAGATGTACAGGTCCCGCGCCGAGCCCACGGACGGCGAGCTGGCGCAGCTGGCGCGGGGGGCCGAGCAGGGGGCGATGGGCGAGTGCCGTCGTGTAGATCAGGCAGTTGGCAACCTTGGCCTGCTCGCCAGCCTGCGGCCGCTGGTGACGCCTGGGAGCGGCCTCGCGGTGGCGCCTGTGGTTCCAGCTGGTCCCGCCTTGGGTTTGCTGAGGGGCGCTGTGCCCGCTGGAGGCGGCCCCGCCGCTGGCGACCCGGCGGGAGTGTGGCTCGGCGCCGCTTGGGAGGGTGGCTGCCGCATCGGCGACGAGGTGCCCTGGCGCGTGCCGACGGCGGCCCGCGTCCTCGACAGGAACACCCGCGTGCTGCCCGACGGCCAGGGTCTGTCCGTCGAGCTGGTGCCGCCTGCAGCGCTGGAGCCATTCCTGCGCAAGGCGGTCGACGCGGGGGCGAGGATCCTGCTAGTCGCTCGCGATGCGCAAGGCCGCCGAGGCGTGCCGTGGCAAGAAATGGTGGAGATGATGCGCCGGGAAGTTTTAGGATCGGACTTGACGCTGCCGGGGCCGCCGGCCGCCGCATGGTGCACGAGCTGCCTGCAGCGCAAGCGCCTCGGCATCGAGGGCCACCACGAGCAGATCTGCAAGCGGGGCGCCGCCGACTGGGCCGTCCAAGAGCACCATCGGCCGCGCCACCAGATCGAGGCCGCCACGTGCCAGGACCTCCTGAAAGGGCACGAACTTGATCAGCGTCCGCATGAGGTTCAGGAAGCTCCGGACCATTGTTTTCGTTCACTGGGACAAGGCCAACGACGCTGAGAGCAAGGGCGTTGGAGGCAAGATGAGCCTGGAGGAGCAGGCCGCGTTCTCGCGGGTCTCCCGATCTACGTCCTGGGCGATGGTCTCGCCAGGCCTGATCGAGCACGCGCGTGGCAACAGAGAGAAATGAGCGGGAGCCCAGGCGCAGAAATGGCTGAGACATCTACTCGCCATGGCTTCGGAAGGGGGGCCAAGGCGCGACCATAACCCCCTTGACAGGGTCCACGCGGTGCGCCCACTATAACTCAGGACGTCCACGATGTTGGGAGACGTCGGCCCCGGGACGTCTGTCCTCTGCCGTGCCCGCCTGCCGCCGAGTCTCTGGATAAGGCTGCTGCTGCTTCGCTCGCCGGAGGGGTGCGGATGATGTTGGGAAAGAGGGTCGCTGTCTGCAGCGATGTGCTCCGCGCCGCGGACGCTGTGAATTGGCTCCATGATCCATCGTTGACGTGTGGTCGCGACCGCAATGCAGCGCATGTGGGCCCGTCACTTGCCCAGAATTCGCGCCTCGCTCACGTCGAGGGGTCGGTTCGGCATCTTGGCGCTCCGCTTCTCTCTTTCCCCCGCAGAAGCGCCGGTGCAGCTTCGCGTGGCCGGGGGCGCTTGCGCAGGCGAGCAGTCGCCCTTCGGGAGCCACGACCCTGCGCCCCTCTCCTTGCCGGACGTCAGTTCCGCCCCGCGCTGCTGGCCGACGCGCGGGGGGGCGGCGGGCAAGCCGAGGTCGAACAGTTCGTTCAGCAGAGCGTGCTCGATCCGAGCGAGGCGGCTGCCCGTTTGCAACGTAGTTCGGCGCCTGTGCCCCACTCTGGTCCTCTTCTACGTGATCGGCGGCGCTGGCCCAGTTTTTTCAACCTTTATATGAGCGGCCCCTTGTCGACTTCCACCTCGAGGATGGCGTGGGGGCCGAGATCTCTTTCGTCAAGAAGAAAGGTGGTCGGCTCAGCATGGTTGCTGACTGCTGTCGTTCCAACGAGGTTTTCGCGAGCCCCTGGGCGCCCGCCCGGCCACTGGCGACGCCTTCGGGCCCCTGGAGATGGCCGACGACGGTGCCCTGCTCACTGTGGAGGGCGCCGACCTGAAGGGCGCCTTCTACCACCTGGAGCTGCCGGAGGAGCTGCGTTCTTACTTCACCCTCAGGCCAGTTCGCGCTGGTGCCATCGGCGTCAACAGCCTCGGGGGCAAGAGTGCGCGGGCGTCCACCAAGCTCTTCCCGCGCTTGAGGGCGGCCCCCATGGGCTGGTCGTGGGCCGCGTGGCGGTGCCGGTCGGCGGTGGAGCGCGTTGCCGAAGCTGCAGGGTGCGATGGTGCCACGCGACTTCGTGATGGGCGGCCTGCCCCAGCGCTGGACCCCGCGCGCCACCTCGAGTACGTCGACGACTTCGCGAGCATCGGCTACGACGCGACGGCTGTTAGGGCGGCGGTCTCCAACGTCATGGAGGAGCTCATGCGCGGGGGTTTGGTCGCCACGCATGAGGCGCACCTCGGTGACAACGAGGGCGAGTATGCCGCGCTGGGGAGGTCGATCACAAGATCGGGCTGCCTCTCTGCTTCTGCGCCCAGGCCCTGGCGAGTTCGCCCGGCAGTCCGAGGTCTCCCACGGCGAGGTCGCGCGTCAGGCCGGGACATCGAGCCCGCGCTGGGCCGCATCATCTTCGTCACCCTCGCGCGCTGCGAGGGGCTCGGCATTCTCGAGTCGCGCTTCCGCTTCGTGCAGAAGTGCTACCACCAGGAGGTGCCCCTCTGGTCTCAGGTTAGGCAGGAGCTCATGGCCTGGGATGCGGTTGCCCCCTGACTGCGGCGTGATCTCCATGCTCAGTGCTCGCCCCCTGTCCGCCGCGTCGACGCTTCCCCCTGGGGGCTGGGCGCCTGCGACGCCGAGTGGGGGGCGGCCGCTGTTCGGGGGGTCGGGCGCCACAGTGAGAGGTGGCGCCATGGCAGGGCTGAGCGCTTGCCTCCTCGATTTCGCGCTCGCGCTGCCGAGTCTGCCGCCGACGTGGTCGCAGCCTGCGAGTCAGGCGACAGCCGGGCCGTCGGCCCGCCGAGGTTCCCGAGAAATAGTTGGAGAATTGTTTGCGGCGTATCACAGGTCGCCGAAAGTGGGATCGTCTTGAAGGGATGCCTGTGCTTGAGGCCCGTGCTGTTCTCTATCATGTTCGGCATGCCCTGCGGGCTTCTCGGAATCATGGAAAGAGGCTGCTCGTCTTGGAAGATTCGCTGGCGTCTGTCTCGGCTGCCTCCAGGATGCGAGCTCACACTCACACCGTGCTATCCATCATGCGTCGCACTGGTGCCCTCTCATTGGCTTCGGGGAGTTCTTTCTGTATAAGTTGGATCCCGTCAGAGTACAACGCGGCTGATGGCCCATCAAGAGGCCGAGGAGACCCCAGCCTGCCGTCGCCCATTGCATTAAAGGATGGCCCCGACAAGTCATCCGAGCCCGAGAGCCTCCAGGACCCCCTCGTCGTAGACAAGGTTGTCGCCCCGCATGGACATAGACGTCAACGCTCGCGCGAGGGCGGTGGAGGTCCGCGCGAACAAGGGCACGGCCATGACTTGCACGGACGAGAAGCCCATCGTCACGCACGTGGCCCGACACCGCGCTACGAGCAACATGACACGGTGGAGGAGAAGGAGGAGCACTTAGAGCGCTGCGGCCCCGAAGACGGCCATCATGAGGGAGTCTTGGGACGTCATCGCCGCGTCCGCCCTCGGCCGCCTCGAGGCCCGAGAACGATCCGTATACCTTTCTCATATGCTGCGGTTCACGCCCCTCCCAGCAGTGCCCCCGCTCTTCCTGGTGATGAGCTCGGCGCTCCCCTGGGCTTTCCGCGCGCGCATCCTGCGGCAGCGGCGTCGCCGGCGCGCCGGCGCGCGTCGCCGGCGCGCGGGCATGCCGTCGAGCGCCGGCGCCCCCGGCAGCGGCGTCGCCGGCGCGCGCGGCCCCTGGGCATGGCGGCCGCCTGGTGGACTGGCCTGTCGCCCAGGCTTCGTCAGAGAGCCGCCCGGGCTCGAGCGCTCCGTTTACGGCGACCTGGCTCCCCTTCGAGATCTACGGCCGCCCAGGAGAGGCTCACGGGCTGTGGCTTCGGGGCGCGATGCTGCCGTCGGCGGCCGCCTCGGGGGCCCGTCGATTCGCGTCGGCGCCGCTCCGCGCGCAGGAGGTCGGCGACCTCTCGAAGCCAGGCGATTTCGACGCCTCGGTGCTGCTGTTTCTCGACAGGCGGGTTGGCCTCGCCCAGGCGCTGCTGGCGATGGCGGCGGCGCTGTGCCGCGCGGGAGCCCCTGCTGCCGCGCCTTCCTTCGCTTCTGTCAGCGCGACGCGGCGGATGCCTGGCGCAAGGCGGCGCTGGCGCTCGGCCTGGCGAAGTTCACGGCTTGCCACGTCCACCAGCTGCGCCACTCGGGCCCAAGCCAGCTGACGGACCTCGAGCACATCGGGCGCCAGGGCCACTGGAAGTCGGGGAGCTCGGTCAGAGGGCGCGAGAAGGGCGGGCGGCTCGCCGAGCTGCTGCGCCTGCTGCCCGCCGCGCAGCGCCGGCACGCCAAGGCGTGCGCCATGAGTCTAAGCCAGTCGCGCCACGGCCTGCCCTCGCCAGCGGCGCCCGTTTGCCTCACCCGCCAGTGATTTTAGATCTGTTATCGGGAACAGGTGGTTTCGCTAAGGCTGTGGCTCAGTGAGACATGCCTGTGCTTATGTGGGACACGCCGCTGGGGGAAGCATGGCCTTTCCCGGCCCTGTAATCGCTCGCTCGTCCTGTCGTGGACACGTGCTAGTCGCATCAGAGGATGGCATGATGGCGTTCCTTGCAACACTCTGACCAGGTGCCGTGACCATGGAGCCGGGGCCCCTCCTGTTCGGTCACCTTCGGCCTCCCCAACCTGAAGCCCCATTTGCATGCGATCGTTGATGTGTCCAACATCCTCAACAGTTTAATCGCTACTCTAGCTTGCGCTAGCCTGACTCATACGACCCCGTGGAGCGTTGAGAACCTTAAGACGTCCAGGTTGCGGTTATTTCCCCGCATGAAAGCTTCGGCGCGCAGACGCGCCGCGGCCTTTCACATTACTTCCACGCGTCAATGGAGTGCCCCGTGGAAAAAAGACACGGGGTTGATTTTCGGTGACCTCGACCCTGGGCCGTTCAGGGATTCTCGGTGCATAGGCTCCAGACGAGGGATTTGTTCCCGCGCCCATCGGCCCCGCCAACAGCTCCAGGGCCTCTTACCCCTGGGCGGACGGCAAGGGGCCGAGTATCCTCGCAAGTTGTGGGTAGCGCTCGCACGTCTCTTCCATAATGCCGAGGTCCGGGCTTCGGCTGAAGTCATTCAGAAATCTCTCGGTTAGTGTGCCTCTTTTTTCCGGCGTGGCCAGGCTGCTCTGCAAAATCGGGAGCATCTCTGGTGATTTTGTTTCACTTGATGGCGGTGCCGCCATCGAGTGGCTTGAGCGTGTTGCGAACGGGGCGGCCTGCTCCGAAGGCAGGATCCTGGCGAGATCAATCTCTTCGTGCACTGGCAGAAAAAGTGCGCTCAGGATTGTCGTGGTTTCACGGGTTTCCGATGCTCCCTTTGGGCCGCCGCCGCATGGGTTAAACAAGTCTTCCGCCTCCTCCCCTCCTCCTCCCTTCTATTTTCAAACGGAGATTTTATTTCACTTGATGGGGGTGCTGCCATCGCGTGGCTTGAGCGTGTTGCGAACGGGGCGGCCTGCCCCGAAGGCAGGATCCTGGCGAGCTCAATATCTTTGTGCACAGGCAGAAAAAGTGCGCTCCTGATTTTCATAATCATCATCATCAGCGTCAGTATCAGCATCATCATCACCATCGTCATCATCGGCAGCATAATCATCATCTTCATAGTTATGTGCATCATCATCCTCATCATAGTATTACTCCTCTCTTTTTTACCCTCATCAGCATCATCATCGCCATCACCATCATCATCATCAGCAGCAGTAGCAACATCAACATCATCGCCATCACCATCATCATCATCAGCAGCAACATCATCATCATCGTCAGCATCGCCATCACATCATTATCAGCATCCGCATCATCATGATCAACCTAATCTTCTTAACCGGCATCATCAATCATGATCAGCAGCATCATCATCATCGACATCTTCATCATCATTATCATCATCAGCATCAACACCAGCACCATCAGCATCATCAGCAACAGACGCATCAGCATCATCATCACCAGTACCATCAGCATCATACTATTCAGCAGCATCATCACCATCGTCATCGTCATCGTTACAATCAGCATCAACATCATTGTCAGAATCATCAGCATCACCATCTTCATCCTGAGCAACGCTGTGCCTCCTCTTCAGCATCATCATTATCAGCATCATCCTACCCAATCCTCCACCCGGCGCGCGCGGGTCTCTCCCGCCCGCCGAGCATAGTGATCGAGCTGGCAGACACCTCCGCTGCCCATCAAGCGGGGCTGTCGCCCAGGGGTGGAAGACTGTCTGAGATAGCGGCCACTCCCAGGAGGGAAGGGTCTGCTGGCCGGGGCCTGGGCATACCCGGGAGCTCCTTGGCGTTTCACGATGGCGTGTTTAGTCGCCCGCGTGCTCGGGCGACCGCTCAGCGCCCGCGGCCGCCTCCACCTCCTCCAACCTCAATTTCTTGTCAGATGCGCCCGACGGACAATATGCGCCGGGGGCCAACTGGGCCCCGCAGCCGCCGAACACGGCGCGAATGTACACGCTGTCGCAAGAAGTCCATCGGGCAGACCGAACACACGCGAGACAAGCCGAGCAGCCGCGCGTAGAGCGGAGACGGTGCGTGGGCCAGCCCACAGCGGAAGTCCTGACCTCGAGCCAGCAAATCAGGCGAGAGGAGGTTGTCGTGGAAGTAGAGGACACCTGCGCCTTGCGGAAGAGGGAGCGGGGAAAGAACCTGCACGGGGAGAAGAGGGCGGCGACCGGCGCGCGCGAGCGACGACGAACGACAGCCAGGCAGCCACGACACGACACCCGCGACGCGACCGACGGACAGCCGCAACGAAGCCAGGCAATCAGGAAGGCAGCCGCGACCGACGACGACGACACGGCAACAAGCCCTGGCGGCCTCCACAGCGGCGTCTCCAGCCCTGGTTGCCCGGCAGCACCGCGCAGCCGTTGGCCTCCCCACGCCGCCCGCTCCTCCTCCTCCTCCTCCTCCTCCTCCTCCTCCTCCTCCTCTTCCTCCTTCTCCTCCTCCTCCTCCTCCTCTTCCTCCTCCTCCTCCTCTTTTCAGGTTTCGTTCACTCCTCCTCCTCCTCCTTCTCCCCCTCCTCCTCCCTCTTCTCCTCCTCCTCATACTTCTCATCATCATCATCATCATCATCAGCATCATCATCATCATCATCATCATCATCATAATGTGGATCCCCGTGTTTAGCTGATCCGGCATCTGTCCTCACCCGCCCACCCAAGGCGGCAGGACGTGCAGTTGGGCGAAGCCCTCAGGATTACGTCGCCGTCGGACAAAGGGTGAACATGAAAGCAAACGAGAGCAATAATCTTTCCAGCAGCAGGATGCGTGACCACACGAATCCAATCTCGATTGCAGTAACTGGCCTGCGAGCGAGAGGCCGACACCGCGCAAAGAATTGAAAAGGATGCAACGCGTATTGTACTCTGGTCCCTGCAGAGATCCCCGAGTGGCTTATCATCACCCAGGGCAGGGAAGAACGCATGAAACGGACACTCCACTATCCTACCACTGGACGAAATCATGAGTGCATGCGGGGGGGGGCCCAGAAAAAAAACTACGAAGGGGGAGATCGCACTCACTTCACATTAAGTAACATTCAGAGACCTCATTCTCCAATAATGTGGATCCCCGTGTTTAGCTGATCCGGTACCTGTCCTCACCCGCCCACCCCAGACGGCAGGGCGTGCAGTTGGGCGAAGCCCTCAGGATTACGTCGCCGTCGGACACAGGGCGAACATGAAAGCAAACGAGAGCAATAATCTTTCCAGCAGCAGGATGCGTGACCACACGAATCCAATCTTGATTGCAGTAACTGGCCTGCGAGCGAGAGGCCGACACCGCACAAAGAATTGAAAAGGATGCAACGCGTATTGTACTCTGGTCCCTGCAGAGATCCCCTCGGGCTGTGATGGTATACACATGACACTCCACTGAATCCCATACCCCACTCGTGTACTCTCTGCATATCAAGAAGTTCACCATCACAGCCCATTCCCGCCAGCTAGACGTGCGTACTGAAAGGCTGACTTCACTTGCATCCAGTAACGAAACCAGAAGGGCGGGAAAGAGCCGGCAGGAATGTCGGACTTGTGGAGGGGCACGCGCAGCCAGTCTAGGTCGATCGCCGCTTCCGTGCACGATCGAACTCTGTCGGAAATACGTTCCAGCTGCGCGCTCACATCGGCTCCGAACCACTCCCACATTGGGTTCGCCCACACTGGCTTGAAAACGAGAGCCGACCAAGTGAATCTGACTTTCACAAAATACGTAGAGAGAAGCGTCATTTCGTACTCAAAGACTTCAAACTTGTGAATCGCCACAAACTTCTGCTCAGACTTCGCAAGCGAAGGAAGCGTCGGGCCGACCCGATCCAGTGCCTTCCAGATCTCAGCGGCCCGATTCTCAGGTAACTGATGAAGTGCGTCCGAAAGCGCAGCAGTCTGATCTGAGTTGCGGGCGCCCAGCAGCATGATGTAGCGCCCTCCCGTCGCATTCACGGAGGCGTTGAGAAGGTCGACGCCTTGCCAGGTCTCCTCCAAAGCTGACAAGCCACCGCGGCCAAACTTCACGGCCATGTCGGTCACCAGCACCGTGACGTTGGACGCCGCCTTCGTCAGGACACCTCCCGCGTCGGCAATGTCCTCGGAGAGGCTGATGACGGCGCCCACTCCCTTGGCCAGCGTGGGCGAGAAGCTCGGCGGGCTGATCCACAGCGCCAGCAACAGCACGGCGCCCGGCGACAGCCACCAGGCGCGGCCCACGCTGAACAGGCCTGCCAGGCCCTTCCGCCACGGCGAGGGGCGCGGCCGCCTCGGTTGGGGCGGCGGCGGCGCGGCCACAGGCGGCCCCTCGGCCTCGGAGCTGGCCGCGAACGGGTTAAGGACCCCGCTGGGCGGCGTGCTCCAAGGCGAGGGAACCGCCACCTGCCCAAACGGCGTGCCCACCAGCGACCACGAAGACGGCGGTGACAAACCTGCTGGCAACGTAGAAGCAGGTGAAGCTGACTTAGCTCCTGGCGACTTCGGGCCGCCTGGAGCAGGTGAAGCCGTGCGCGAGCTCCTCGCGGACGGCGGCGTCAAACTCTTCGCTGAGGCCGGCGGCGTATACACACCGCCCACAAACGTGCTGCCTACCTGCGGCGCCATGCTCAGCGGTAGGGAGGCCGTAGGAGGTCGTGTCGTACGTAGTGTTTCCAGCCACCAGCCGCCCAGCGCAACTGCTTCTCGTGCCCCGCGGTGAGGAGGTCCGTCAACACCGCGTTGGCTGACTGGACGTCCAGGTAGATCACCCAGCGGCCGCCCTCGCGGATCTCAGCGAACGGGGCGCCCTCGGCGCGGGAGTCGGTGGCCCAGCCAGCGCGCGGGCTGTGCGGGCCCCAGCCCACAGTAAGCCCCAGCGCCGCTTCGGCTGTCT